AGCCTTGACCCTTGCTTGTGCTCCAGTTAATGTTTTTTCAGGTAACTACCAGATACTTTCATTAAGTCTTGCCATCACCACCATAAAGCCTGTCTAAAACTGAGCTTGTCATGTTCCACCAAAAACCAGCTTTAATTTCAGCTTGCAAATTTCTGTTAGTGGAATCAGAGTTTCCAGTCTAGAAACATTGGAGTCATTTTCAGCCCCCTCCTCCGTCATCTCCTCTGCCAGTCATTTAGGCCTTTCTCTCCACTTGGTCTCCATTTGTACTGTTAGCAGCATCTTCCAGGCCTTGTCTCTTTATATTTTAGTAACTATAATTTAGCAATATGACTCAACTCCAAATCATTCTGCATATTCTAGCCCAGCTATTTTTCTCCAAAATACAGCTTTCGATCATATCATTGCACAAGTAAATCTTTTTTTTAGATACTTTTGTATGCTTTGTTGAGATATAATCCACAGAACATAAAATTCACTTTTTAATGTGTACATTTCAGTGATTCTCAGTATATTTGCAGAGTTGCACAACCATTACCACTATCTAATGGCTGTGTCAATATTAGAGAACAGAAGCAGTTTGGGTCCAGTTGGTAAATAACCATCGACCCAAATCAGAGGGTGCCCACTCCCTAACCAGTCACTGCCCAGGCTACCCCAATTCCTATCTCCAGAAACTCCCAGAACTTTCTATAGTTCAGCTGCCATCAGACTAACAGCTGGCACAATCAAGGACTCTTGGACCTTCCTCCATTACTGTGGCTGTACCCTGGTATCAAGTATTTCGTAAATCACCCCTGGAGAAAAGAGGTATTATTTCTTAAATGAAGACAGAATCAAAGAATGCTTTTCTTTATTAAAGGTACGCAGTTACATGGTTCAGTTAAATCATCCTCATACTCGCACAGAATTTCCTTACAGCATGTGAACCCATCTTCCCCAGCGCCTTTACCACTCTCCAAATATGAAACCCTTTTAAGGTTCCATATTCTTTACAATGCCAATCCATCTTTGCTTTCCAGCTCAAGTTCCTTTCTGTTTGTGTCTCATACCCCCAGGATCTTTTTAGGTTTCATATTCCTGAATTAACCAAAATATTTGGCTTATTTTCCCAGTTATTAGGAACAAAGCCATTTGAATGCACCGTCAGCCTCCTCTTGGCCCTTCAGAGTCTGTTTTGTGAAAGTCCGTGGCATATGAGGAAGTGTGCACAGGCCACTATCCAAACTAACAAAAGCTACCCTGTTTTTCCTTCATATCCCAAATATTAAGTTTTCGCCCTCTTTCTTCATACAACTCATGTTTAAATCTTTTCATTTGAAATTATTTTTCAAACACCTTCCATTACTGGCAACAAGGGTAAAGAGAGAGAAATGTATCTCATGGGAAATAAAAGCTAGCCCCAAGATGCAAACAGCTGTCATTTGGGTGAATTTGGAAATTTGAAGAACAAGAAATGGAAAACAATTTTGAACTAATTTCTTTTACTTTTCTTAAGGCAGGAACCTCCTCAAAAGTGATCATTCCTCCAGATTTTTGAGACAACAGTGTCAGATTGATGCCTTTTCAGATGTAGCCTTGCCTTCATTCAAGAAATATTTATCAACTACTATGTGCCAAGCATCTTGTTAGGGACTAGGGACATAATGATGAATAAAAAGAGATACCATCATTGCCTTCCACTGATCCTAGAATCATATTGTGGGAGGACACCAAGATGCCCCCAACCTTCACAACTCCTTGTCAATATGTCCTTGTCTGTAACTTTGCAGTGCCCTCCCACTCTGATTCTGGACTTGTCCGCGTGACTTACTTTGGCCAGTAGAATGAGCCAGAGGTAATGGTGTACCTGTGCTGCCTCAAGAGCCTTTCATGTGTCCTCCTGAACATCTGCCACTAACATGAGAGCGTGCCTGGGCCATTCTAGAGGATGAGAGACACAGGGAGCCGATGCCCCAGTCTTCAATCAGCAGTCAGCCAGCTCATCCTCAGATATATGGGTTAGCCCAGCCTCTCCAACCAAGATCAACAGTTGCCCTGCCAACCTGCAGCTGACCCCAAATACATGAGCCATAAACACTTACTGTTGAGTGCTACTGAGATTTTGTGGTGTTTTATCACACAGCATATGTGGCAACAGATTACTGCTACATTACTTAACCATAAAAAGGAAACACAAAATTAGAAGCTGCAGTGTGTGCTCTGAAGGGCAGGAGTATAGAAACACGAGAGTACATGAAAGCTACATCTAGCCTACAATAGTGGAGAGGGGAAGGTCAAAAAACACTTCTTTAAGAAAGAGATGTGTGGGCTAAGATCTAAAGGATGTACAGAAGTTAACTAGGTAAAAAACGGGAGAAAGAGTTATTTAGGTCACTGGAACAGCATGTGCAAAGGCTTTGTAGGGAAGGAATACAGGCAGTGAGTTACTAATAAGAAGGCCAGCAGGAGCGCCTAGGTGGCTCAGTCGGTTAAGTGTCTGACTTTGGCTCAGGTGAGTTAGAACCTGTGCTGACAGCTCAGAGCTTGGAGCCTGCTTCAGATCCTGTGTCTCCCTCTCTCTCTGCCCCTCCCCTGCTCACACTTTGTCTCTCTCTCAAAAATAAATAAACATTAAAAAAATAATAATTAAAAAAAAGAAGGCCAGTGTTGGGGTGCCTGGGTGGCTCAGTCGACTAAACATCCGACTCTTGATTTCAGCTCAGGTCATGATCTCACAGTTTATGGGACTGAGCCCGAGTTGGGCTCTCAGCTAACAGCATCATGCCTGATTGGGATTCTCTCTCTCCCTCCTCTCTGCCTCTCCCCCACTCATTCTCTCTCTTTCTCTCTCTCAATAATGAAAAATGAAAAATAAAAGCATAGAGAAGGAACATCAAAGTCTGTGAGGGCCAAATTACACACTGGAAGAAAAATGGGTTTGAGGAAATTAGAGCTCCTATTCCGGCGTAAGAGTTTTTGTCCTATCTGACCCTGGTGGGTGAGTATGCAGCTGGGCTGGAGGACATAGGAGAAATAGGCAAATAACAGGAATGTCCCAGGGCACCTTCCTCTGTGGAAGTGTGTCTCCTAATCCAGAAGTCACAGGTCAGTATCAGCACTCAGCTATTTTCTTAGGTTCCTGTTGTTTTGGGGTGTTTTTCGTGCATCCTTTAGTGGAAATCATAGTCCGAGAAGATATCTGAATTCAAAATAGATATTGTACGCTCTCTCAAAGCTCCTGGAGAGGCCCATATAAGAATCTGCCATTTTATTGGCAAAATGGTAGAATAAAATCAAAAGGTCATGGGGCTTCACTTTGCCTTTATTGGCCTTTAAAAATGATAGGCATACAAAAGCTCATTTTTCCAATTACAATATGGTTGGACTTGTGAGTCAGGGTTGGAGAACTCAGCCCTCTGTTTTAGAGATTTTTATGGGGATGCTATTTTCCTGCCAGTCCTGAGGTGTTTGTACTAGAAAGGGGGCACACGAGCACCATTACTGCGGTCTCACCTGAGAGAGGTGTTTTGCTCAACTCCGCACAGCATGCAGCCAGTGTGATATGGACCAAGAAAGAGCCTTGCTGGGGCTCCACTGGGCCACAATGTTCATTTCGGCAGGTCAGCTGAGGTTCAGCAGGACCTTCTCATTTCTCGTCCAAGGATCTGGATCATTCCGGGCCTTGGACTCTGGCCTCCGATTTGCATACTCTGTTTGCAGATTTAATCTGCCCAGGAGCTTTGTTCTCAAGCAACAAGAAAGGATTTTTTAACGAAATGCATTATAAGCTCTATTTAGTATTCATGTTCTCCGCAAATAAAGTTGGTGATTTTTTACTACTGGATGAGGTTCTTTTAAGGTGAGGATTATAAGATGTTAAATTATAAATCCCAAATTTAGTGCCGTGCTCTCATGCACATATCCTCATCCCTGCTAGGAAATCCCCAAATTCCTAACAACAGCCACATCAGTGAGCTCTTCTTCAACAGTAGTTCCCAAAGCTCTGTCTGTTTTATTGGTAGAATTTGCATAGTCTCCATATACTGAGCACAGTCATTTATCTAGTGGGGGCTCAACAACTTACAGGTATTAGATTGAACCTGATGGGACTGACAATGTTCATAGAACATAAATGGTAAACAGCATGATTTTTAAACAGTTCAACTTAATACTAAGTTCTGTGGCACAAAGCCAGTTTAGAAAGTCTAGTTTGAATTGTTATGTAAATAATCTTAATAGCATCCAGAGAGGTCAAATGCTCTTCATTTGACCTTTTTTTTTTTTTTTTTTAAATGACAGCAAAAGATTGGGATGAATGGATTATTTCTCCTTACAAAGTACCCAGACGCTGCTGGACACAAAGTAGACTCTCAAGAGATGTTTCTTTTAATAAGTAGGAGAATCTACTTCACATTAATCATATTCAAAATTGAAAGACTATACAGATAACTTGAGAATATTGCTTAAACTCCTTTGTATTGCTAACTGAATTAAAATAACTATTACAAATAATAAGAACAAGGGAAAAATAAATTTAAAGGCCACATCTGCTAGCAAAGCCAACTACCTATTCTTGACGGAAATGAATTCTCATAAGAGTTGTATGTTCTCCTAGAGCTCGTTAATATTTCTGTCATGATCCAGTATGTTCTGGAGTGAGAGAAACTACATTTCACACAGCCCATGTGAGCCCTGGCACATCTAATCTGCAACCTCCACTTTTATTTACATCTGGAAAATGAATGAATGAGCCACTACAGGGACATTAAAGGCAGGGTCACACAAACACAGTGCATCATCTTATTACACCTGCTGCCCAGCTCTGCACAAATAAACTCCGTTTTATGTGCTGGCTTTGTATCTAAGAGGGGAAACCAAACTGCTCTCCCATCCTGGGGCAGACATACAAAATCCTTCAGCTAACACAACACTCAGCCCAACCCACTGACTTGGTCCTATGTATATCTGTATTCCTAAAACCAAGTTTTCATTTTAATAACATTCTTTTATAACTTAAGCAAAGCAAAATGGAAACAACACTGGAACAGATGCAAAAGTCTAATAAGAACGTCTTCTCGGACAAAGTTATTTTAATGAAAGCGACACTCTGTGCAACCTCCCTGATTCCTCCTCGTGTTCAACCACCCAAATTAGATTCACTTCATTGGCTGTTTTCATCAGGTTTCACAACACTGGGGACTATCCAAAAGAAATAAAAGGTGAGCATTTTCCTTAAAGCAGGAAACATTCACATTAAGTGAAGGAACTTGATTAAGCCCACAATTCAAGATGATGATGAACCGAATGCTGGAACTCAGCTGCCTGACACACTTTAGCATATGAATTAAATTTTCTGTTAGCTAACTCACTTAAAAAAAAAAAACAAACAAACAAACAAAAAAAAAAAACACAACTGTATTTAAACATCTCCCTTCAGGGAACTGGCCATATGTGGAATTAAAGGACTCTTGGGTCCACATGGGACTTGGGTTGCAATTTCTGAGTTTGCTGGGAAAGTGAGTTTATTACTTTGTATTAAAATGGACACTGGGAGATTTATTTGAGCATATGACACTCTAATAGGGATGTCTACTTAATCAGATGTGCCATCACTCAAATATATACAGGTGTACCGGCAGTTGTTTAATGAGTGATCATACCAAAAAGGGATGTAGATGGCCAGATGCTAAAGAAGGCACTTCAAATAAGGAGGCGAGTGCATGTGGTGATGATAGGGAAAGAGCTGTCATGATGTACGACATGAATCTTCCTAAGTACATTCACAACTCTGTAGCAAAATGTTTTCCATAAAAACTTCATTCCACAAATAGAATTAAAAAAATGGAATCGTAGCATATGGCCATGTAAATTGTACATGCAATCCACATGTCTTCAACAATGCCAGTGCCGATGGGCTCATGAAGATGCAAACGGGGAAGGGCATACTATGGAGTTGGCGACCTCACAATACCCAGATGTCCCAGAAATTCCAGAGCCATTTTGTGAATATCAAAAGGAAAAACCTGATCAGAATACAATTTCAGCTTTGATCTTTACAGTCTTACAGACTTCAGATGTTACATCGCTTAAATATCATCAGATGCATCAGGAGACTTAAGTGCTTTATAAATCATACAAGGACAAAAGGGAAGCAAATCAATTATGAAGAGGTGGAGGCCAGATGATTTCCAATTATTGATACCGCACTGTAGGGAGATGGCTCAAGATTGATCTGTGAAGGAAATCAGATATAAATGATGAAGTCCTGAAGAGTTTAGTTAGCTGGGGAGGGACTACGTTTTTAGTACATTCATTTTTTTAAAGCACTAGACTACGTACTTTACATAAATGGTAAGTTACTGCCATTTTGAGATGAAGATGACAAAAACTCAAAGATGAAATAATTTCTGCAAAATCACAAAGTTAGTAAGTACCCCAATAGATATGTGAACACAAGTATTTACAAGGCTGTCTTCCATGTATCACCTTTGTAACTTTTGCCATACCATGGACCATCTGTGTTATATTTAATACTTTTCTCTAATTCATAGATTTATATTTTTAATTATTTATTTAAAATAAAAAATTTCGGGCGCCTGGGTGGCGCAGTCGGTTAAGCGTCCGACTTCAGCCAGGTCACGATCTCGCGGTCCGCGAGTTCGAGCCCCGTGTCAGGCTCTGGGCTGATGGCTCAGAGCCTGGAGCCTGTTTCCGATTCTGTGTCTCCCTCTCTCTCTGCCCCTCCCCCGTTCATGCTCTGTCTCTCTCTGTCCCAAAAATAAATAAACGTTGAAAAAAAAATAAAATAAAAAATTTAGGGGGCGCCTGGCTGGCTCATTCAGTAGAGCATGCAATTCCTGATCTCCCGGTCATGAGTTCAACCCCCATGTTGGGTGTAGAGCTTACTTTAAAAATAATAAAATTAAAATTGTATAATACTATTATTGATAGAAAATAATTATCATTTGCAGAAGGCAACTATAAAAATAAATTCTATCTAAACAGTGTTACCCATCCAAAGTTCTGAACGTGGGGCCTGCCTCTTTCTTATAAGGAGGGCTTATAGGGGTGCCTGGGTGGCTCAGTTGGTGAAATGTCTGCCTTTGGCTCAGGTCATGATCTGGCAGTTCATGAGTTGGAGGCCCACGTCTGGCTCTGTGCTGACAGCTCAGAGCCTGGAGCCTGCTTCAGATTCTGTGTCTCCCTCTCTCTCTACCCTTACCCCACCCCCTCTTAAAAGTAAATACACATTTAAAACATTTTTTTAAATAAGGAGGGCTTGCAAAATTAGGGAGGTATTAAAGACCTCCATGCACCAAAATGAGGCTTTTCTCTTGATATAAACAGAAGGACTGAAAGAGCACTAAAATGAAATTCTATTTTTCTACTGTGGTATAGTTGTATTTGATGACCGTATGTGCAACATGTGGAGGTACCAACTGGAATTACCCTACCTACTACCTGTGGCATGCTGGCCACACTTTGGGGAATTATGCGTCATTGGATGAGCATTTTTTGAGTTGGAGCAAGGGAAGATAGAAGGGAGTTGATTGCATCTTATCTTTTTCAAATCAAAATTCAACTTGAAATAAACTAATCTCTGCTTCCATATACAATTTGATTAAATTTTTAAAAAAATTTTTATTAAAATTTTTTTCTTTATTTATTTTTGAGAAAGAGAGAGAGACAGAGCACAAGCAGGGGAGGGACAGACAGAGAAGGAGACACAGAATCTGAAACAGGCTCCAGGCTCTGAGCTGTCAGTACAGAGCCTGATGTAGGGCTCGAACTCGGGAACGGTGAGATCATCACCTGAGCTGAAATCGGATACTTAACCGACCGAGCCACCCAGGCATCCCTCAATTAAATTTTATATGTAACAAATCTGAGACCAAACTCAAAATTAAACATAGGGCTGAATTCTTTCAAAATACTGATATTCAACAGGCGTCAAGCACATTGGATCTAGGAACTATTGAGTATCCTTTACCATGGTTCCTGGTTAAACTACTGCAGGACATCATGATAAAAGGCATCACCAGGCCCCTCCGTCTTACAAAACTTGGAGAAGACAGGCTAGAAGTTCCTCATACCTTGCCTATTCCAGGGCAAACCTGACTCAAAGAGTGGCCACTTGGGGCCCAAAAGTCATTTCTCAGCATCATTTTGTCCTGACCTTCCCATTTCTTTTCTAAACAGTACAGAATGGCAGCGTGGCTATTAAAGTACCAAGATTATCACCATCATCACTTCCATATGTCTAACAGAAGATATCTACATCCTTGTTTCTTAAGTATTTTGTTTCCTAATCTTCTGTAATTTGACTCACTAGCATGTTTAACAAGGCATATAAACTTCTGCAGAAACACAGGGGTGCCTGTGTGCCTCAGTCGGTTAAGCATGTGACTTTGGCTCTTTGGGTAAGATCTCATGGTTCATGAGTTCGACCCTGGCATCAGGCTCTCTGCTGTCAGTGTGGAGCCCACTTCAGATCCTCTGTCCTGCTGTCTCTCTGTCCCTCCCATGCTTGTGCACTCTCTCTGTCTCTCTCTGTCTCTGTCTCTGTCTCTCTCTCTCCTCTCTCTCAAAAACAAACAAACATACAAAAAAAAAAAAACCCCACAATATCTTGGCTTTCTGTATTTTTATATGCATGTACTTGTCTTCCCAGAAAAACCCACATTCATAAGTGGACCAAACTTAATATGTAATAATACATATACACATACACACACATGCACATACACACATAAGCTGTCTTTAAAAAACTGAATGTCAATAGCAGATATGGCAATAGATCCTAAGTGAGAAATACATTGAAAATGAAAGAAATGCAAATTCAGAATCATGTCAGGAAACAGATTTTCCAATGGTGATAAAATTGTACACGAGACAAGACTATTTAAGAAAATGCACCAGAGTCACTGCAAAAAAAAAAAAAAAAGAAAAAGAAAAAAAAGTAAATGTCTGGGAGGAATAGAGTACTTACTGGCAAAGAAGCCTGATAACCTATAAGCCTCTACTCGGTCCAAATATTTATATTTCTGGAGAAATACATGTTTATTTTAGCATTAGGAAAGCATACTGCTTACATCTTAAACTTTCCACTAGTCAGTAACTAGTTTGATTATTAACAGAGTTCCCTGACCAAACTATTGCTTCAAAAAAGGTAGTTCCCTCACAGATTACACCCTTCTCTTTGCAGTCCAAGGCTGGGCCCAGTCACTGGCATGCGGATATTGCTGAATGAAACCTCAGTGGGCAAATCAGTATATGGATGAGATCTCGCTCTTAAATATAATTTGGCCAGATTTTGGAAACGTGACAGGAAGCTTGACGTGAACGTCAGTCCTTTTGCTTCTCTGTGGGGTGTGAATATAGCACTAATGACACTTTCTCAAATATTTTTTTTTTAATTTTTTTTTTCAACGTTTATTTATTTTTGGGACAGAAAGAGACAGAGCATGAACGGGGGAGGGGCAGAGAGAGAGGGAGACACAGAATCGGAAACAGGCTCCAGGCTCTGAGCCATCAGCCCAGAGCCTGACGCGGGGCTCGAACTCCCGGACCGCGAGATCGCGACCTGGCTGAAGTCGGACGCTTAACCGACTGCGCCACCCAGGCGCCCCTTTCTCAAATATTTTTAATGTAATATCCTGTACTTTCACAGTTGACACAATTATATAAACAGCTTTAGGAAATTCAACTGCTCTCATTTTCTAAAGCTAAATTTTTATTTAAGAGAAAAAGCACAGGGGCACCTGGCTGGCTCAGTCAGCAGAAGCATGCAACTTTTGATCTCAGGGTTGTGAGTTTAGGCCCCACATTGGGCATAAAGCTCACGTAATAAAACACACACACACACACACACACACACACACACACACACAGACATGAAACAATATTTGATCGTACACTTGTGGCTCAGTAGTCATTTTGCTCTGTTTTCATGAAAAACCCTCAGAGCAACTGAAACTGCAAAATATAAAGGAAAGAAAATAAGAATGATAAGCAATTCTCATTTGTACTGAAATCTGAAAATACAGAATGTCTATTTTTAATCTGAAGTCTAGACACTAAACTAGAATATGTCTTTTCATAGCTGAGTTCTAAAAACCAATGTTTCTTTCTAAAATAAAGCAAATATGAAATTTTTTCCAAAAAAAACAATATGGAAAAGAATTATTCTCAGGGTCACATAATTTTAATAACTTTGACCTCAATTATCAAACTTTGGTTTTGGGAACCGAAACTGGTTTACTAATGTGAGGTAAAAACCTAAGTCAGAGCTCAGCCTTCTGGATGTAGGAGGAACTGCACCAGGCAGGTGCTGAGGCCACATTAGGAAACCCAAGGACAGTGATGTTTTGTAGTTGACGCCTAGAACACATAAAAATATCTTAATTAGAAGCATCTCAATTATTAGAAGATGGGGACTTTTATTCCTGGACTTGACTCCAGAAAAGCATATGCTCCATTTTTGTTAAGTAAAAAGGCTTTCTTAAATGTGAAGCCCCAGGTTATGTATTAAAGAGCAGTGCTTCTCAAACTTTAATGTGCATAGGAATCACCTGAGAACTTGTTAAAATGTAGGTTTTGATTCACTAGGGTTTGGAGTGAAGCCCAAGATTTGCATTTCTAACAAAATCGGTGATGTGGATGCTACTGATTTAGTCACCATATGTGAGTGCAAGGATATAGAGAACATAAAACGGTGGCTTCCCCAACTTTACCATCTAGTGGAGAAAACCCATAAGTAAACAAGTAACCATTGTAGTTTGCCTTTAAATCACTTCTACCTACTGATTCTCATATGATGGTAGTACTTTTTTGAATTATTTCTGCATTAAAACTTCTTTTCATGGATGGGATTGAAAAAACTACAGCTGACCCTTGAACAACCCTTGGGTTAGGGGCACTGACCCTCACACAGTTAAAAATCTGTAGATAGCTTTTGACTCTCCAAAAACTTAACTACTAATAGCCTAATGTTGATGGGAAGCCCTACAGAAAACACATATTTGCATGTTATATGTATTATATACTGTATTTTTATAAGAAAGCAAGCTAGACTGGGGCACCTGGGTGGCTCAGTTGGTTAAGCGTCTGACTTCGGCTCAGGTCATGATCTCACGACTTGTGGGTTTGAGCCCCACGTCAGGCTCTGTGCTGACAGCTCAAAGCCTGGAGCCTGCCTCCTTCTGATTCTGTGTCTCCCTCTCTCTCTGCCCCTCCCCCGCTCATGTTGTCTCTCAAAAATAAATAAACATTTAAAAAAAGAAGAAAGAAAGAAAGCTAGAGAAAAGAAATTGCTATTAAGAAAATCATGAGGAAGAGAAAATACATCTGTAATACTGTATTTACCAAAAAAAAAAAAAAAAAAACAATCTGTGTATAAATGAACCCATGTAGTTCAACCTTGTGTTTTTGTAGAGTCAACTGTAAGTAAAATGATCCCACAGAAAAGGACACAAATAACAAATCTGTTGTGAACAGTTTCACTTAAAAAAAATCAAGGAAATCATTTATGAAAAAGAATTTTAATTGTACAAGTTTCCCAACTGAAATAAATGAGAATGTTTCAGTAAATAAAGAGGAAATCACCTCCTCTTACCTCTATCCAATTATTCAATTAAAATTTCTTGGATGAAGTCAACATTAACCAGCAAGGTTCATTTAATCCCAATTTATAGCCCCTGTTTTAAGCAATCAGCTGAGATAGAAGGTAGGGGTTTCCCATTCATTCAATAAACACTTATTGTGAACCAACAATGCAGTAGGCACCGGTCTGGTGCAGAGGACAGAGAGTAAATGAGTAGGGAGAGACAAACAAGCAAATAAACAATTAATTGGAAATAGAAAACATCCAGCACTGCCTTGGCAGACAGGTGAGTGAGCCACTCTGGAAGCAGAGCCCACAGCCCCAGTCGAGCCTTCAGATGACCCCAGCCCAGGGTGACCCACCCGGCCCCGCCACACTTGGATTAGTGACCCACAGAAGCTGTGTGAGACAACAAATGCCTGTTGTTTTAAGCCATTAAAGTTTGGGGTGATTTACCGTGCAGCCACAGGTAACTACTATAGAAGAGACCGGGTGAGAGGCAGAACATGCTGATTTAAACAGGGCAGTCAGGTAAGGCCTCCTTAAGAAGGAGATAGCTAGGCTGAGGTAGATAAAATGGAGTCAGTACTCAGTAGAAGGTGGCAGTAGTGGTAGCAGGATGAAGAATAAATAGCATTGCAGAACAAGGGCACCAAGTGAGGATCCTGAGCTGTATGTGGAGTCCGTGTGGCCAGAGCTTATTCCTACAGGGAAGTGGGAAAGGTGAGGTCACAGAGGCTGTCTTAGCCAAATCAGAAGGGCCTCTTGTAAAGAGTTTAAATCATATTCTTAATGCATTGGGGATCCTTTGATGAGTCTTTACCAGAAGATTAATGTGATCCGCTCTGTTTTAAAAACCTCCATGGGGCTGCAGTATGGGTGAGGAATACCGATGCTTCATCTGCCATCTACTCTTGAGTTATTCAGAAGCTCAAACAAGAATGATCAGGAATGGTTTGAAAGCATTAGGAATGATGAAAAGACCTAATTACTGTCACTATTACTGATGCCATTATTCCAGACTCTGGCCTGGTGTGGTCTCTGGGCTGTTGCAGGGGAGAGAGCAACAGGGGTCTCTGCTGGTTTCTGCAGGACCTCAGGGCATTTCTTTTCTTTCTTTCTTTTTTTTTTTTTTTTTTTTTGAGTGGGCTCCACACCCAATGTGGGGCTTGAACTCACAAGACCCTGAGATCAAGAGTTACTACTGACTGAGCCAGCCAGGTGCCCCCTCCGGGCCTTTTCTGAAGCAGTCTCTGAACCTCATTGAACCCAATTCCAAACACAGGAGAGAGTTATCTACTTGCTAAGCCTAAAATGTTGATGTGGAACAAGAACAAATTTACAGTACAAATATTTGCATTTTGGTATGGGCATGTTTTTTTTTTAAATATAAACTTAATGTTTTATTATATAGATAATGCTTACTATAGAAAAATGCTCATTTATTATGCAGGTAATGTGAACTGTAGAATAATTAAGAAATGCAAATGTGCAAAAGAGAAAGAAACCTAAAAACTTCCAGTCACCCCAATTACTCCAAGATAGACACTGTTTTCATGTTGTAAGTGTCCTTCTAGTATCTCCAAGCTTATATGTAACATATACTGGTTACTACTAAGATTTTTAAGTTTTTTTCCTTCTCTACTGTAAAAGCCATAAGTACTGATTTTAGGTAGTTCAGAAGATACAGAAAATATAATGAAGAAAATAAGTAGCACCAATAGTGTTACCTCTGTTTCTTTCTGAGAATCTAAAGGCAGCTGATATAATCCATTCAAATCTGCAGCTGTCATTCAGCACTGCCATTTTACAAATATTCAATTCCCTAATTTCAGCCTCCCTCCTTAGCTTATTAGTAAAGGAAAATGAAAGTTGAGGACTGTTTATTACATAGAGGATTTTGGCACCATTTTTTGTACCTCCCATTGAAATAAATAAATTGGGGGTGGGTAGAGAAAAGAGGTTTCTTCTTGCCACAAATTCTAAAGAACAACTCCCCTTTGTCATGTTGTAAGGGCAGTAATCTATCTGGAAAAGTATATTAAATTCTGGTTGTCCTGGTTGTCTAAGTTTCTCTCAAAACATATTTCAAAACATATTTTTAATCACCTGAATCCAAGTTTGAAATAAAAATTCTTCCCCTCCTAGACATTAGCCATTCTTATTTTCATATGATTCCCTGGACATCCTTTGCAAAGTCTTTTGTTGCTGTCTTAGGCAATTGCCCAGAATCACAAGTGCTGTGGGCCCAGAGAAACTTAAATCTCAGTGATAATCTTGCATATTTTATTGAACAACTAAAAGCCATTTACTTGATGGAAAGTATTACAATACATGATGCCATTCCAATCAGGGTTTAATTCATTTGAAGGCAGAATTTCAAGAGTGTAAACCTGTATTTGCTTATAAAAGGAGCCAATCCAAAGTTAAATTTCATAGGAATTTTAAACTATCCAACCACAGCCAACCCTGATATAGTTTTACCCCTCTGTTACTACAGTTACCTTTTTGGATTCACTGGAAACAGTTTTAGCCAACAAGCTCTGACAGAGACATAATCTTAATGTACCTGAACTCTAGAAAGCCATGGTGAAAGCCAGGAATTTGGACTGCATTGTAAAAAGGTAACCTGAGATGATTCTAGGTGGGGGCGTGGGGGAAGGGGGAAGGCAATGAGCAAATAGAGGAATTAGGGTTTCATTTACACCTTTGGCTGTAAATTAGATGTTTTGTCTAGATTAAAGCCATTAGTGGTTACAACTGGAGAAAATGTGTTTGAATGTGATATGGTTTGAATTTTTCACATCTAACTATGAATCAGAACTAGGGATAAGAGTAATATGAGGCATACGGAAGAACTGAAACAGAACCAGGACTGTCTGGTTAAAGGTTATATATGGTTTCATGGTAAAGGGGAAATTAGGACACACAATAGAAATCACTGTATGTGGAGTACCCGGGTAGCTCAGTTGGTTAAGCATCTGACTCTTGATTTCGGTTCAGTTTAGGTCATGATCTCACCATTGTGAGACTGAGCCCCACGCTGGGCTTCACGCTGGATATGGAGCCCGCTTAAGATTCTCTCTCTCCCTCTCCCTCTGCCCCACACTTGCTCACTTTCTCTCTCTCTCTCTCTCTCTCTCTCTCTCTCTCTCTCTCAAAAAAGTCAATATATATAACTGATGTATAGTTTTGGTGCTATATTAAGTTTTGTTTTGTTTTGTTTTGTTTTGTTTTGTTTTGTTTTGTTTTAAGTAAGTTCTATGCCCAATGTGGGGCTTGAACTCATAACCCTGAGATCAAAAGTTTCATGCTCTACTGACTGAGCCAGCCAGGCACCCCATGGTGCTACATTAAGTTTACAATGAATTTTCTGTGGTTCTCACTAGAGAGTATGGATTCAGTCATCCTTGATACTGTCATCTTCATAAATTCCCGTGTTAATGAACCCCTTCAATTATTGTTAAACATAAGATATCTGAATTGGGGTGGGGGATGTCAGACCATTTAGAGTCAAGATTCTGTAAATGGTCCCTCATTTCAGAATTCTGCCTTAATAAGGCCTATTTCTATAATGAAACAATTTTATTCACATATAATTTCCTGCAGAGTTTCTTTGAAAAGAATGCTTTGATAAACCACAAAGGGTGGAAATGTAAGATGCTAAGGACCTGTTTAGTAACAAAGGATGGTTTCTACACTACAACATATAGTATTAGGAGAGGAATTTGCATCCCTTCTGTGAAAGAGAAGGACATAGAGAAGAGTGGGCAAGGGCTCTGCTGGGGAAAAGGGTGTAGAACATAGAGAGAAAAGCCTCAGATCTGGGATGGAGATGGTCTCCAGAGGACATAAGTATCTAATATGGACTCTTAAACTCCTTGCTTAAGAAGAGGTGTGTATGGGCACAGTGTGTGTGTGTGTGTGTGTGTGTGTATGTGTGTGTGTGTGTGTGTGTGTGTGAAAGAGAGAGAGAGAGAGAGAAAGAGAGATTTACATGTGACACAAATCTCTCCATGTCCTCATCCCTTACAGAATCTATGTTGCTCACCAATTCATTTGTTGTTGTTGTTTGTAAGATTTTATTTTTAAGCAATTTCTATACTCAACTTGGGGCTCAAACCCACAACCCCAAGATCAAGAGTCCCATGCTCTACTGACTGAGCCAGGCAGGGGGCCGGCTCACCAATTCATTTGTGAACATAGATTCCTCTTCTCTGAGTTCCAATTCAGAGTTTCAATAAGGACAAAATTAGAGACAGCACAGACAGATCCTGAAGCTGAAGGACAAAGAGGCAGTTGACATTTGGGTTATTATAACCCTACTACTACTAATTATTATTATATTTAACATGAAACACATTACACTGACATCTGTAAACACAGAATACAATCTAACAACAAAATGATTCTTCTTAGAAGTAAAACTGATGCATACTTCATGGACCTGCTAATCCTTTTCTGCCTCATTAATTGGCAGTGTTTATTTCCTCTTGAGTGTATATGAATGCCACTCTTACAAGCAGGCAGTGCCTTCCCCCAACCTTCAGAGAAACAAATGGCACAATAAGTGATAACAAGTTGGGGGAGGGCTGGAGAGGGTCGGGGGAGGGGCTGGCCATCTAAGGTTTAGAGGAGATGATCCAGGCAAGATCCTCTCAGAAATATCCAGCACATCATACACACTTAACAAATGTGACCGATTAGTAGTAGTAGCAATAGTAGGAGCCGTTACTCCTTCTGCCTGCTTCTGTCTCTAGCGACAAGTTTGGCCCTTATCCATGGCACAAGGATAATTACCTCAAAGACCCAAGAGACACAGGACTGGGGAAGAGATTCTCCTTTGCCCCCGAAGAATCTACTGACAAGTTAAAGTGAGGGTCCACCTCTCTCACTACTACCTCTTCTCTCCGCCTTTAAGTTTAGCTGAAGAAAGCCTGTGCCATTCCCAGCAATTAGACTGAGGCCCCTGCGTTCCAAATGCATCTTTGATGGATGCCTGTAACTGCATCACAGTGGCAGGTGCATTTCTCTCAGCATTTAATGCTAATCTTCCCTGTCATCTAGGTATAAATAACTACACAACCATGTCAGGAGGCCCCACCATAAATCCACCAGGGGTTTTAATTACTCTCCAGTGACAATGTCTTATACAAAATCAGACACATGAAAACCTAACCAATGAATGTGTGTGTGTGCATGTGCGCGCTCGCGTGTGTGTGTGTATGTGTGTGTGAGAGAGAGAGAGAGAGAGAGAGAGAGAGAAAGAGAGAGAGAGAGAGAGAGATGGTGCAGTCTATCCCCAGAACAGCCAGATTATCTGTGCTGTACTTGGAAGGAAGAAGGTCAGAAACCTTTACCCAGTTCAGGGTGTGTGAGACAGCAGCACGCCCTGTAGGTCTGGCCAGGAGAAGGGAGGATTTTGTGATGGCACCACCTGCAGCATCCTTCCTTCCTCTGGGGGCACATAAATGATCGTCACAAATTCATGCTGCAGAGTCAGAAGACCTGGGTTCAAATCTCAGTCCACTGCATCCTCACTGTTTCACCACAGGCAACCTCTCTAACCCTCAAATTCCTCATCTGTAAATGGGGATCATAACCATACATAAGGCATAAGGTTATTGTGAGGATTAAGCAAGATAACCTATGCGTAGTACTGAACACAATACAAGGTGTCCAGAAAGTGCTCAATAAATATTAGCAACAGCAGGAGAAATGCAGAGGGAACCCCCGTCCCCGTGGGGCAAAGCACGGGCTGTCATGAGGGTCCGGGTATCCTTTCTCCCACCCAGGCCTCTGGTTGGGTGAATCCGAAAAAAGCATCTTATCTTCCACAAGTACTTAAAAGTAAACATAGTGAACAAACACTTCAAACGCTTAAAAAAATATATACATATGTATGTATACGAACACAACTGCTATAGATCTCACTAATTCAGAAACAAGCCCCGGATGTTTATTCTATGTCCCTTTTATAAATCTAGGGACTCACGTAATCCAGGTTCACAAGGTTATCCCTTTCAAAGAAACGATGACTAGAAGTAATTTAAAGTAAATCAAACTCTTTATTTAGGTTCCTCAGATTCCGTCTTAAGTAGACTCATAAATAATACACTGATGTACTTCTCAGCGTCCCTTTGCTTTCCTCTTGAACTCCGTGCCATGATTCAGTGTCATTGGAACTTTTGTCTTCAATACTCCAGAACTCTGCAAACACATAGTCTCATGGCTGCATGGTCTCTAAAGCTGCTCCCCCAGCCCCCTCTCTTTATCATACAGACCTGCTCCACCTCTGTCAGCAAGCAGGGCTCCTACTACTTAGGAGCTGAAAGAGAGGTAAACAGAGTTAGTTGAAACATGATTCTCCTTAGTGATCATGGCCCAGGGGGCAGCTCTGTAGACTTGGGTAAATGATTTTTGCCTCTGCATATGCAGAATACAAGAACCCTTCACTCACTGTACTTTTCTTCTTCCTCATTCTTTTTTTAAAAGTTTTTTTATTGTGAGAGAGAAAGAGAGAGGTGGAGGGGCAGAGAGAGAGAAAGAGAGAGAGAGAGAGAGAGAGAGAGAGAGAGAGAGAGAATTCCAAGCAGGCTCCCTGCTGTCAGTGCAGAGCCGACGTGGGTTCAATCCCACAAACCCTGAGGTCATGACCTGAGCTGAAATCAAGAGTCAGACGCTTAACCAACTGAGCCATCCAGGAGCCCTTTCTCCCTCATTCTTAACTCATGACTTCATTTGCAAATGGAAAGATGCAAAGCTAGGAAACATTATTCCCCCCAAATTAGGGGTGTATATTTCCCACCTTTCCTTAACCTTGTCTTTAAAAAAGAAAGAGGACATTAAGATGTGAACAACTAACTCTATTGTTAGAGCCCCACTGAGAAGTGATAGGAAGAAGGATGGAAAAGAAACTACACGGAATGACAGACAGGATGCTTGCCAAGCAGCTGACTTGTATTCATAAAACACTTCGGACATAAATGGTTTGTCTGATGTGGAGAAGACTCCTCCCTTCCTCCCCTACACAAAAGAAGGGCAAAGAGATGTGGAGACAGTGCTAATTGTCGGGTGTGTACATATGGGGCCACTGCCCTCTAGTGTACACTTTAAAATTCACAAAATTCCTTTATCCTGGCAAACCAGAGAGGTCTTACCCCAAAGGCAGTAGAAAACAGAATAAAACATGAACCCCTGTTGAACTATTCCGCAGAATCATTTTTTAAGATTTTAATTTTTTTTTAATTTTTAAAAAATGTTTATTTGTTTTTGAGACAGAGAGAGACACAGCATGAGCAGGGAAGGGGCAGAGAGAGAGGGAGACACAGAATGTGAAGCAGGCTCCAGGCTCTGAGCTGTCAGCACAGAGCCCGACGCGGGGCTCTAACACATGAACTGCGAGATCATGACCTGAGCAGAAGTCGGACCCTTAACCGACTGAGCCACCCAGGCGCCCCTAGATTTTATTTTTAAGTAATCTCTACACCCTATATGGGGCTCGAACTCACAACCACAAGATCAAGAGTCACACGCTTCACACACTGAGCCAGCCAAATACCCCCTCCCACAAAATCATTTAAAAAAAAAAAATTTGTTTAGGGGCACCTGGGTGGCTCAGTCG